TTTTTTTTTTTTTTTTTTTTTTTTTTTTTTTTTTTTTTTTAGACTTTAGAAACTCAGAAGCTGATCAAATATCGGGTTAAATATCGGTGGGGTGGCCGATGTCCGATATTCAGTTTTAAGGCCGATACCGATAGGGGGCCGATTATATCGTGCATCCCTAGTCTGTCTTTGTGTTCAGATCGTGTCCTGGTCCTTCTCCACAGAGCCCTCAGGGTTTTGGCTCGGAACGAGGAGAAGGTCATTTTTATTCCCGTAAGCCTGGCTCCAAGGAGGAGGCCAGTTTAAAGTCCTGCTGAAATCCTAGAACAATTTTCGTCTCAGAAAAATTACTCAAGTAAAAGTAATAAGTAGCTAATTTAAAATGTATTTTAAGTAAAAGTTACTTAGTTACATTTAAAAAAATAAAACTGTTGAACGGGGCAGACTTCTACGTCTCTTTTTTCAACAACAACGTTGTGTCAGAGCTATGTTTACGTTCGCGTAGCCATCAATATGGCCGCCACATCCCACAATGCAACGTGGATCCCGAGCCCTATAGACATCAGGATTCCACTAAATGACTCTTGGTCATACTTGTTAATGGAACTGTAATGAGCATCTGAGGAACACATGAACACTAATGTTATATCAGTGTTTAAATTCTTAGTGAAATAAAGCTTGTCCAAGCTTTAGCAACAGCTCAAAATATATTCCTGTAGCATAGCATAGCATGTAGTCCATCCTGTTAGCATCATCTTTACCCATCAGTAAACACATGAAATGATCAAAATCATCAACAGAATTATTGTTTGCTCTGTCCCTAATTGTGCCAGACCTGTAAAACCTTTTGTCCATGTCCATTGGAAGGCTTGGATTTTCATCCAGCAGCAGCTTAGCAAGAAGGCTCACACTGGTTCCAATGTCCAAAAACCCCGATCATGGAACACCTGTTTGGGTGAAAACCTCTTATAGAGCAGAGCTTTTCTGGATTCCTGAACTGTTCCTGTCTGCTCTGTCTTCCCCTGACCTGGATTGGCTTCCTGCAACTTCTCCGAGGCTGCAGCATCAGGGACACTCCGGGCGCCGCACGCCGCCTCTTGTTGTCAGCCCATCGACTGGATCGCACATAAATAATCTTAATACTAAATTAAAGTTTTATTTTTCCTAAGAAATGTTTCAAAATGATGTAGGAGCCATTAGCTGGCACAGGTTTCTTGATGTCACAACTGGAAGCTTTGGGATTATTTCTTATATAAAGTTGTTTTAAAACCTTTTTTCATCCTAAGAAAATGCAGCAGCACCTAGAGCCAACAGCAGTATCTGGCATGCCATTTTAGAAAAATGGTATATGTTAGGAAAACTGGCATGTGCCAGTTGAGAAGTGGCATATAAAGTGTGGAGGTCAAGAAATCACACCATTGGCTAATATGAATCCTGAACCTTTGCTTTCCCAAAAACTGATTATTTTCCAGAGTGAATGCATCTCGGTACATGTGGGCCAGGCGGGGGTCCAGATCGGGGAACGCTGCTGGGAGCTCTACTGCCTGGAGCACGGTATCCTGCCAAACGGAGAAATGTCCAGTGACACAACCCCCGAAAGAGGAAATGACTTGTCCGGCAGTTTCTTCAGTGAGAATGGACAAGGGAAGCACACCGCCAGAGCAGTGTTTGTGGACCTGGAGCCCACCGTCATCGGTAAGGTCATGTTCTTTACCTCCAGCAGGTCAGGTCACCTCAAACTAAAACCAGCGTCTCTTAGATCAAGTGCGTACCGGAAGCTTACGGCAGCTGTTCCACCCTGAGCAGCTAATATCTGGGAAGGAGGACGCCGCCCACAACTACGCCCGCGGGCACAACACCACTGGGAAAGAGATCATTGAGTTAGTTATGGAGAGAGTTCGTAAGCTGGTGGGTGGATGTTAGTGTCTGGTAAATGCTGAACAGGAGCAGTGCAGTGATGTGTTTAAAGGTGTCCATCTTTGTCTCTCCCCTTACGTCCACAGACGGACCAGTGCTGCGGACTCTCTGGCTTCCTGCTGTTCCACAGCTTCGGGGGGGGGACCGGCTCTGGGTTTGGCTCACTGGTGATGGAACGCCTGGCTGTAAATTATGGTAAGAAGGCCAGGCTGGAGTTCTCCATCTACCCGGCCCCCAATTTATCTACGGCTGTGGTGGAACCCTACAATACCGTTCTGGCCACCCACACCATGAGAGACTACTCAGACTGCACCTTCATGATGGACAATGAGGCTATCTACGAAATCTGCCGCAGCAAGTTGGATATTGAGCGTCCCACCTATACCAACCTGAACCGTCTGATCAGCCAGGTTGTGTCCTCCATCAATGCGTCGCTCCGCTTCAGGGGCATTTTGAACGTAAGCCCGGTGGATTTTCAGACCAACCTGGTGCCATACCCTTGGCTCCACTTTCTGCTTTCCAGCTATGCTCCAATCATCTCCACGGAGAAGGCGTGCTTTGAGCAGCTCACTGTGACTGAGCTCACCAATGCCTGCTTTGAGCCAGCCAATCACATGGTGAAGTGCGACCTCTCCAAAGGGATGTACATGGCCGGCTGCCTGCTGTACAGAGGTGACGTGGTGTCCGGAGATGTCAATGCCGCCATCTCCAACATCAAGACCAACCGCAGCATCCAGTTTGTGGACTGGACTCCCAACGAATTTAAGGTGGGCATCAACTGCCAGCCCCCCAGCATGTTCCCTGCAGGAGACCTGGCCAAGGTGCAGAGGGCTGCCTGCTTGCTGAGCAACACCACGGCCATTCGTGAGACCTGGGCACGGCTCGCTTACAAGTTTGACCTCATGTTCGCCAAGAGGGCCTTCGTCCACTGGTATGTGGCAGAAGGCATGGAAGAGGGAGAGTTCCACGAGGCCAGAGAGGTCCTGGCTACTTTGGAGAAGCATTACAAGGAGGTGGGTCGTATAAACGAACTGCTGGGCACCAACAAAGAAGAAGAGGAAGAAAATGAATACTAGAGGGACAGGCATATATTTGTTCGCAACTTCCTTCTCTTTGTCAGCCTGGATGATTGGTGTTCCTATGGGTTTCTTTATTCATCTAGATCTCTAATTAAAATTTTCTAGCATTAATACTTTATGTTTTTTCCCCCTGAAATCCTTCTGGTTGGTGATGTAATGATGTCTGATGCCGAGTTCGAATTCAGAGGCTACATCCTCCCGAAGGCCAGATTGCTATGCCAATTAGTGCAGCATATTGGCGCGGCACCATAGCAGGGCGTCATAGCGCAATGTCATAGCGCAGCGCTGAGGTCTGTTGGGATTGAAAGACTCCTCCTTACGCAGCTGACAAAAGTGTCCTTCTTTTTGCCCGTTTTGAAGGGCGGGTTCGGCGTATCCAACGTAGCATTGGATCTCCCGTGATTCATTGCCAGTCCAAGCAAGCCGGCTGCTCCGTGCTCAGAGGATAAAGGTACTTGGTGCCGAACAATGGTGAATAATAGAAGTGCATTATTTGAGTAGTTCCATCTGAAATTAATTAAAATAGTTGTTTTAAATGGGTATTAATTAAGATATGTTGTGGATGTTTGGTTTTGGCTAATATTTAAGGACAGATTCTAATATATCTGTGTTGTGGGGACTATAAATTTGGTACGATGCAGCTGTTGAAGCCCCTCAAAAATGTTAAACACCCAGAACAGCAGTGAGAAGTTCTGTATTAATTCTTTTCCTGCTTTGTGTGTGAACTCTCACAGTCGCTAGGCGACAGAGCTTACAGTGGTAAAAGCCGCAGAATGGTGGACCTGTGTGGATGCACAGCCAAAACTACGGTGGCCCTGAAGTGCAAACTGCAACTACAAATCTAAAAGCGCAACTACATTAAGGAAATCGCTACTACATTAAGGAAAT